GGATCCTGAAAATATTTTGCACTCCCTTTTCATAGTTGCATTGTACCACAATACTTCTGGCTGCCTGCAGACAGCTACACTTGGTCAGTCATGCTGTCAGCAAACAAAAACAACAAGGCAACCAAGGAAACAAATTCCCTGATTTTTCCTGACTTTTTGACAATTTTTAACAAATTCCCTGACTTTCCATGACTTTTTCAGAATACTAATGTAAATCCCTGACGTTCCAGGTGCGTAGGAACCCTGTATATACAGATGTGAGGGCCGAACAACCCTTAATAAAATGTTATTTTAAATTTTAATTATTGGAAACTTTAATTGGTTAAATTTGAGTGTTTTATCGAGTTAGGCTAAAAGCCATAAAAATTATTTCCCACGGAGTTTGTTCCTTGTTGAGTCGGATCCAGTTAGTCAGGGATGTGTCACCAGGAACTTTCGATGGAGAATCCATATTGGACGCCAGACCCTTAACAACAACCACCTGACCTAATGAAAAAACCCAAGAGGAATTACAACCAAAAACCCTCAAGAGGAGAGTCATCTTCAAAAGTCTGCCCAACAAAGTCATCCTCCAGAATTAAAATCGTGACCCAGGATTAAACCCGAGAGAAAAAAATCGCGCCTGATTAAGCCTCTACACTCCTCCGTGCATCCACACTAGTGAACGGACAAGATTAGGAACTAGTGGAAAGAACAGTCCATCGACAAGGTATTTATCAACCCGCGATTCGTTTGTAAACTCTCTCTCTCTCTCGACGGGCCTCTCTTGAATAGGGGAACTATGACCGAAATTGACCCTCTTTGTATTTCCTTTAGTTTCATTAAAATTGTTAATTGTTAGCAACCATGGAATCCGATTAAGTTACTTCCTCGACTCTCTCCTCATCTCTACTCCAAATCCAATCGCTCACCCGCTACCGTTTGCGTGACGTAACGTCGCGATTTCCGAGTCCTGCGAGACTCGGTGGTGTCAGATTCAGGTCTCCTGACGCGGTGTCGAAAAGACACCGACCCTATGGTCACACAGGTTACTTTACATCACTTTGTTCGGTTGTATAAATAATTGATTTTAAGTATAATAATATAAAGAACCAAATTAAAATTAAAAAATTGTCCAAAGAGTGGTATCCATAATTTTAATAAAATCTGATTATAAAATTCTCAATTCCATTTAGTCAAAGAATAAATTTTGCACTTATAACCAAAAAACACAAATGCAGCACATAGGAATGGGAAAAATTATAAAAAAGAATTAAAACATTATTAATTAAAAAAGATCATAAAATTAAAAGATACAAAAGTTCATCTGGAAAAAATTCTGATACAAGATTTCTTAGAGGTTGCAAATAGTGAGATTAAAAATATTAAAATGATGTAACCAAGTATAGTTCTATCAAATGAACAACCTGATTCTTTATTCGGCTATAAGGCTAAATAATTATTCAACAATTTGGCAGGAGATAGGCTACCAGAGACACTAATAAATTATTTTATTAATTATTATATTTAACAAAAAACATCAGCCATCTTGTTAAATTGCTTAGTAATTATTTAGCCTTATAGTCCAACGAAGAATCCAGCTGTTCATGTGGTATTTTTAGTAACTATTGAGTTAGTTATATTTGTTATATAAGCTCTATCTCCAATATTTTTCTTCATTTTTTACTTTGTCCTATGGGCAGTAAGAAGACCTTCTGTACCAATTGTGGGTTCAGCCAAGCTTACAATGAGGGTGACCAGGTGGAAAAGAACTGGGGCCAATATATGAGACTTACTGCCAATGAGAAACTCTGAATGGCTTACCCAAATTTGATCTCATATTCCCAGAATGGTAAGCTGACATCTTCACTATCTCACTATCTGTTCCATCCAATCTCCAAAATTACAAGAATAAATAAATAGATCTTTAAAATTTTGATTTATTTTCAAAAATATTCCTCTTATACTTCAAATATGCTTTTACAATAGAAAATGATGTTATTAATTATTAGTTTTGGATAAATTAATCTGTATTTTCCTTTTAATTATAATTTTTATATAAAAGAAATTGTTAGAGAAAAAGTTCAAACTACAAGTCTTCAGGAAAAACTATTGATATTCTGAAAGACAGTAATATATAGTGAGAAAGGTTTTTATGAAGTTTTCTCTAACTAAACATTTATTTTATATAATGTATTCATTATTAATCTAAACTTAAATATTAAAATAATTACCTTGATTTTATTGGAACAGCCAACTGCAAACAACAACTGTCTAACAATGTGATTTCTTCATCTTTCTGTCTTATAGATTCTTGTATTCCTTGAGAAAAACCTTGAAGAGTTTCAATATTTAAACCCTAAAATATATTAGTCATTTTAATAGTTCATATATTTTAAAAAATATTTAATAATTACTAAATTATTATTTTATGGTAATTTATGTTTTGATTTATAAGGCATTGTAAGTCAAAGGCATATTATTGAAAAGATGCATTTAGAGTAAAGAAATATGATATAAGAACTTTATGTTCAGAAACAACATTCATTTAAATAACTATTTTTCCACAACTGAAATTTATAATTTAAGATATTTCTGTAACATACTAACACTATAAGAATAATGAAGAGTTGATACTAATGCTGTGATACGGCTTATGACTTCTAAATCCTGTACCAAATTACTCAATTCTTCATATAAAGATTGCATTGTTCCGCTACCATCTGAAATAAAGCACTCATTATTCCATTTAAATAATAAAAAATAAAATAACTTGATTAATACTGTAAAAAGTTTACAACAACTTTGTTAGAAGAAAAGTTGCTTAAAAATGTATCATCATAATCAAAATCTAATATTGTTAAATGATGTACATAAAATCTTATTAGAAAATAATATTTATTATACTTTATTATTTATTTAATATTAATTCTGCATGACAAGTACAGTATATTTTTATATAAGTTTTATTAAAGGCTATAAAATCAGAAAATGCATTAAGCATTATTAAAGTAATTAAAGAAACAAAGTATTAACTTATTAACAAAATCAAAGTTAAAGGATATATTTTAGTTATATATCCTTAAACTCGGATGACAAAAAATAAAAATTGTTTAGAAAAATTTGAATTTATGACAGAACAGCATGAAATTCTTGTTGGAAATACATTAGATATATCTTTAACAGATAACAATGTGATCTGTGAGTTTTGAGTATGTAATTTCCTACACTTTCTACTTTTTTTGTGGGAAAAGTAGGAAATATACTATTACTAACCATAATGTCTTTCTTTCTGTACATTCTTCTAAATTTTTATTCTTGTTATCATCTATTTTTAACTCAAGTTGATAGTGTTGATGATAATATTTCCTATTTTTAGGTAGGAAAAGTAAGACCCCCGAGAACCCTGAAAAAGTTTAATGGAAAATCATGTTATCAGTCCAAGTTACAGTTGAATTTCAAATTTTACAGCCTTACATAAATCAAGTATTGGAAAAATATGGCGTAAAATTGTGAAATTTATATATGTATATATTAATTTGGTTTCTATGCCTTTTTTTATATATATAATAAGGCATAGAAACCAAATTAAAAATTTTGTACTTCGTAAGCAGCAGTTATTTAAGAACTTAAAAGATAACCTGGTGCCAAGTTTTATGCAATATGAAGATTATAAGAAGTTGATACCCCTTAAACTTCACCTCTAAGCACTGAGTGACAATCAGTTTCTTGTCAGCAATTACACATTGTTTATGAAAACAAATCATACTTTGGACTCAAATAATCATCAAATTAATTCTAATACTGGCTGCTATTTAACAGAAACATAATCAGCTGATAAAAATGTAGCATTCGAAAAGCATACAAAATTTGAACAAAAATTTTGAAGGAATTAAAAGTGACTTTAATGTCTTCAAGAATTCCATGTTGATTACTTCAATAAACTTGCACAATGACTGAAAATGAATTGCGGATGGAATTTGCAATGGACCTCTGTTTCTTATTAATTAATAATAATATGTAAAATCTTAAATTTCTTTTACCTAAATCAGAAGATTTTTGAAGAAAAAAAATTGCTTTGTTTTAGTATACAGTGAAACCTTGATAACTTAGGACTTGATAATCCAGAATTCTTGATGGTTTGGTGGTACACTTGTTAGCAAATACCTGACTCAGTCTGTCAGACCTTTCACTGCATTTGAGCATTTGCTACCACTCAGTAATGATTTGTATGCCCATCTTCCAGTCAGTCATATGCTGCCAGTGTTGACAAATTGGGCAAAAAGTAGTCAATATTGAGTGCATTTTGAATGACTTCTACTTATTATTATTTTTTTAATTTTCTGCTGTTTGCTACTTACTCACTCAAAACAAAGTATGCTACTCTTTGCAGAATTTTGTACTCTCAAAAACTTTGTGCTACTTTTACAGTATCAGATCTGGCAACAATGCTATAAAACAGCTTTTGTTTTTGTTAGAGGCTGGTATGTATTTTTGTGCAATCTCTATCTTTAATGTAAATACACAGTAGTGTAATCAGAACAAATATTTACTTACTTTGTTTTTATTATGTCAATAAATCAACAAAAATATACAGTACATATGTACTGGACATTTTTGTTATTTTCTGTGTTTACCCATTCAAGCAGAACTATCTTGATAATCTAGAATACCTCAAGTCCAGAGCATGCTGAATTATCATGATCTTATTGTACATCCTCAGTTTAATACATCTTACTTATTATTGCTTTACCAATAAACTCTTTCAAATGACATTTATTTTTACACAATAAAATCATATTTTATTAAAAAACAAAATTAATATTACAAATCATTGAATCGTATACACCTAAATCTCAATTTACATGGAAGATTGGTTCTGTGCAAAACTGAATCATGTAAGTCAAAACAAATAATCATACTGGAGATAAAGAGTGATTCCAATGTTATATTTTCATTAACAATTATAAAAATGAACAAAAATGAAATTTATTCTGTATCTACTTTGCTTGTAGATAAAATGTAACCCCCCTCTCTCTCCCTTTTTTCAGTTGAAAATTCTGTCACTTTTGTTACTAATTTCTTTAATTTCCCCTTTTTTTCTAATTAGTTTATTGAAGATGTTAATGGTCTTGTCCCAATAAAAATCTATCATCATATCTTGTTTTCTACTCTAATTTTTTTAATATAAATTTTTCTGATATAAAGCTAAATTTAATGTATATAGTATAAGGCTGTGTACACACTAGTGTTTTGCATTGCATTAAACGCGCGTTAGCTCGGCGTTAGACGACCGTTTAGTGGAGCATATGCATTGGCACAGTTTGGAAATGGATGTGAAAGTAATTGCTTGTGTGTCCCTCCTCCATCATCGCTATAAAAGATGATGGCAGAGGCAAAGAGAATTTTGGGTGTACCCAATATTACGAGATAGACTGACACATGGAATGTTTGCGACGTTGTATCCAAAACTAAGACAAAATAAACCCAAGTTTTTTAATTCTTTTAAAATATCTATAAAATCCTTTGACAATGGTTGGTCTCTTTTAGATTTCATCAATAAATAGATCAGTATCGAAATGATCGTTCTCCATTTCGGTCAACGTACGTCCACTTTACCCGAAAACGCGCGATCGAATGTACAGTAACATGGCAGCACATATATCTCAAAGTGCTTGGCTGATGCCCACAAAACGCGCGTTTTAAGAAAAATCTATAAAAAGCGCGTTTGACGTGCGCTTGGCCAAAAGTGTGCGTTTGAGTGTGTATGCCTATGCAGAACTCTTGGTTCTTTAAAACGCGCGTTTAAAAACGCCTAGTGTGTACACAGCCTAAAGCTATGATATAGTAGTACAAAATGAAGAATTCAATTTTATTGAATGTGTAAGATAAAAGTAATGATGCATTTCAGAACCAGGGCTGCAGAGCCGGTAAAAAAAACTCTCTACACCGACTCCTGATAATTTTAGTAGGTCAACTCTGACTCCAGCAAAATTAAGTACCAAGTCATTTTATGGGGGTACTTATTTAGAGTGAGGATAATAAATGAATGAATCAAAAACATTCAAATTCAATTGGGTCAAAATAATTTAACTACTAAACACAAATACTACAAAGAAAATTATTGATACATATTTAATAAATTAAATTGTTGCATTTTGTATTTTAAATAAATAAATTATAACAAAATACAAAAACATTTAAAAAAATTATTAAATATAAAATAAATTTTCTTTCATTAAAAAAAAAAAAACTAAATTAAATTTAAAATGCCAGAGTCGGAGTCAACACATTTTTTCTGACTCCAACTCCTCTGGCCAGAAATTCCTCCCGACTCTGACTCCACAGCCCTGTGCAGAACAATAATTAGCATAGGACTAAATTTTAATTTTAGCCCTATGCTAACTATTTACCATATTTATTCAGATATAAGATGATCTCGCATACAGGACGCAATGTGACTTTAAAGATCAAAATTAAGAAAATTAGATTTATTAATACAATTCTAATTTCATTTCGTTTAATCACAAATAAAATATCAAATGCAAGTAAATGCACACATTGTCCCACAAAAATTACTGGCATTTTAAACTTCAAGTAAAAATCTTGTAAAATCAACAACATAATATTTTCATGTAAAGCTGGATAATTATTGGGAACTTTTTTTGTCAATTCTTAACAGTGAAATTCACTCTTTGTTGATTACATTTATGAGTTTCTCCGAATTCTGATTTCCAAATAATCATCTGTTTTTACTACGTGGGAAGGAATTAAAACTTATATTGGGCTTCTGTATAATTTTGGAATTCAATTCAAAAGCTTTTCTTTTCCTATTGCTATTCATCTTTACTCCTGATAATACACAAGAACGATTCAAACAACCCAGATAAAATACTTTTGTTTTTAAACACCAGAAGTTGAGAATCCAGTAAAAAATGCAAATACACGGTTTACAAAAATTATTGCAAAATCGAAATAAATTCTTCACTCACGCATATAGAATGACCTAGGTTATTGAAGCAGTGAAAAATGAATAAAAACCTTGTCTTATATGAAAGTAAATATGGGAAGTAAAATACAAAGAAATATTTAGAGTAGTCTGTCATCATGTAAAATTCTAGAATGTATTGCATTTCCTACTACATGAAAACAAAACTGCTCAATATAAGTATCATATAAATCAAGGATTTAGTTATTTTATTTATTTGCTAAATATATTTGTAATATATTTGTAAAGAACTTCAGTTCCTTAAATACAATTTTATGTTTTCATTTGAAAGATCATTTTTTTCACATCATTAATTATTAAACATAACAGAGCATTTATTAATTAGCAACTACTTTTCTTAATTCAATAAATATTACAATTTAGCATTAAATCTGTAGGAATGACAATATATCAATTAAATTTCATTGCTGTTATAAAAAATCATTGTAATCAATGTTACAGAAAGCAAACTACTACAAAATTTGCAATGGAATATAAAAAATACTTACATGCATGCCTTTCGTTACTTCTATTACTTCCATAACGTGACTTTCCAGATGAAGCCAAGAGATTTTTCGTAGCTGGTGCTACATCTTCATGAACTTCAACATCTTGAAGTGATACAGCCCATTTTAAACTAAGACGTTCTCCATTTGGAATAGCATCATTTGTTCTATAAAAATTGTATATTTTTAATTTGATAATATAAAACAACAACAAAAAAAAACTTCATAATTTGAAAAATCAGAAAACAAGACAATTCAAAACTTTATCAACTAGCCTTTCAAACCAAATTATACTAATGACTTTTTATTAATATTTATGAAATTATCAATCAAACATTATAAATCAAAACAATTAGTTTGTGTTTTTTCAGTTTAAATTATGCAGAATAGCATTTTCAGTATTATCAGACTAGCCTATCATCAATTAACATTTCTGCTAATATAACATTCTAATTAGATCTAAATTACATCTGATTGTTTAATATAAAAATTTCAAGTATAATTCGTTTATTTACNGTGTTTCTGTTACTGTTAGGTATGACTTTTTAAACTATTATAATGAATAATTTATTTAAAGTTGTGTGTGTAAAGTAATAAAATATGTATACAAATATATGTACTCTAAATTTCTATTTTATGGTGTTAATCTGTTCCATAATCTCATTACATCAACTAATTTATTCCATAATCTTAGAAATTTTATTTGTTAGTGATCTAAGAGCTATTTTTTTCTCTAAAAGTGTGATATTATTTATAATGAAAATATTAATTTAATATTATTGCCAAAGCATGGCTTATTAGCTGCACATGGTTCTCAAACATTAGTGATGCAGCACTTACAATTTATGTAAACATCAGATCCTGATTTAAAAGTTTAAATAATATAAGTATATCTTTTGACAGATGATAAAAATATTACATTAGATGGAATAAGTCACATTATATTAATGTCATTACAGTAAATAAATGTACTCTGACTGAGAATAACAAAAAAAGCTGTGTTGTCATAATACCATTAAAATCACAATGTTATATTATCATATCATTAGCTCTTGATGCAGTTCACAAAGCATCTTATCTCTGTCATATAGAAAGTTTAATCTTCAGTTTTCATCAGATCATATTTAAATGTATTTTATATTCACAAAATTTAAAATAATGGGATTGGTAAAATTCATAAAATTTTTTGTTGTAAATTCTAAAAATTAATAAAATAATTTCTAGATTAAAACCAAGTAAAACTACTCTTTCTTATCCAATTTTGAGTGATTCATTTTAGCAGACAAACAAATAATGAAGAAATACTAAACTTTAACTTTAATTACCAATAACTTCATGTTCATAAAATCCAAATGCATTTCACTTACAATGAAGCCTCATCAGTGGACATAATGAACTTTAACAATTTCTATTCCTTGTTTCTTCTAATTCTATGTCACGACTTGGTGCATTTATCGACACTTGGCAAATAATTTCATCATCCACTTTTAATTCATACAGATACATGTTTCAAGCTCTCGCCCCTCTTCAGTCTGTTACATCGATAGGTTGTGACTTGTGTATACAGTATCAAGGCCTTTCAGAGAACTCCCAATAGACCCAAAAGAAGTCATTTATGTTGAACTCAAAAAACAAATAAATAAGCAAGTTCAATTAAAAAACATAAAAAGAGAAGACAAACAGTATATTTTAGCAAACGAAAATAGTAGAACTCCTAAGTTAAACATACAACTAAAAACACATAAGCCAGGCAAACAAATAAGACCCATCGTTGACTTCAAAAACTAAGTCCTATATAATTTAGAAAAATACTAGAAACGAAAATTACAAAAGTACAATTCGGAATGCTCCATCAAACACGCAGACAAACCTATACATGACATGGGAAATATAAAAATGAGCAAGAATTGCAGACTAGCAAGCCTAGATATAATAAACATGTACCCTTCGATAACCTGGAATCTAATAGAAAGTACACTAAAAAAAATTGAAACAAAGGAAGAAGTAATGGATCTAATAGAATTTGTATACAGGAGCAATTATTTCGAAGTCAACAATAAGTTCTACACACAACAGACAGGCATAAGCATGGGATCAGTTATAGGCCAGAAGCTAGCAGAACTTGTTATGGTAGATATAGATCAAGCAATCAAAACGTTTACAGGCTTAACGTTCTATAAACGATATGTGGATGACATAATTATACTATACGACCAAGAAGTAACAAAATTAGAAGAAATAGAAGAAAAATAAACAAATTAAACGATAACATCAAATTCAAGGTAGGAAATGAAGCAAACACGGAAATAAATTACCTCAACATTAAAATAATCAGGAAAGCAAACAAGATTGAATTCGAGCCATACACAAAACCATGCAAGATCAGGAAAGTGTTAAACTACAATTCAAACATTCTGCAGTACATAAAAGAAAACATATTCATCATGGAGTATAAAAACATCGAGAACAGAACAAGCTCACTACAGAAGAAGAAAAAACACCTCAACGAACTGCGAACTAAATTCCTATTAAACGGCTACCCAAAACGAATACTAAATAACTGGAAAAGAAAAATGAACAACAAAAGGCTGAAAAATAAACAAAACAGAGAAAAAAACACAGTAAGATACACACCCTTCCCCTACATTCGTGGCTTCTTTGAACAGGTAAACAAAAGTTTTGAAAAAACAAATATAAAGCTAGCCACAACCTATAACAACTTGCAAAAAAGAATCTGGAAGGCTGAACCTGACATAAATAAACAACCAGACAAATACAACACTACCAAAGTCGTCTATAAAATACCTTGCACATGCGAACTGCCAAAAGTATACATTGGTGAAACAAAATGAAAATTAGAAACAAGACTAAAAGAACACATCGCAGACCTGAAGTATAATAGAATCAACTCTGTTTTTTACAAACATTGCACGACCCACAACTGCAAAACAAATAAGAATGATGCAATAATAGTACACAAGGAAAAAAATTGGTACAAAAGAAAATTCAAGGAAAGCTACAAAATTACTACAGACAAAAATAATATTAACAAGAACCTAAGCATTGACATTCATAAAAAAATGGCTACAATTATTAAAATAGAATGTTTACACAGTCGCAGGCGAGGCTGTGTGCAGCACTCTGAGAAGCGACACATTACAAGTTATGAGGCATGCAGGGGAGGCCGTCAAGTCGGGAGAAGAGGGGGAGGGGGGAGTACGGAAGGTGCCTGACTGATACTGTATACACAAGTCACAACCTATCGATGTAACAGACTGAAGAGGGGCGAGAGCCCAAAACATGTATCTGTATGAATTAAAAGTGGATGATGATCTTATTTGCCAAGTGTCGATAAATGCACCAAGTTGTGACATAGAATTAGAAGAAACAACAAGAAGAAGAAGAAGACACAGTTTAAAAATAAATAAAATATCTATTCCTTTTATGCTAAGTAATTTTTTCCCAGTATGCATCTACATTCATCCTGGTATTCAGATTTATCACATTTGCATATGCTACAATACAAAAATATTTTATTATTCTTCTTTAAAACAATTTTTTACTTTATATAATATTTTAACATTATTCCTATCTATTTTACAATTAAATTTATTACAATGTAGACACCACGGTGATTCTTGTCGTTTTAACCTAAAGCAGCATGTTATTTTAATTGTCTCTCCAACTTCCTTCCTGTTTCTCCTATGTAAAATTTCAGTCTTGGACAAGTACATGATATTGTTTTCAAGATATTTTCTATGTGTATAGTGGCAGAACAAAAAGTATGATGATAAATGTAATTAATATTATAAATAATGAAGACCAGAATACATCTAAAAACAAACATGAAGTCGCAGTGTCATTTACAAGCTATCATGTACTTGTCCAAGACCGAAACTTTACATAGGAGAAACAGGAAGGAAGTTGGAGACACAATTAAAAGAACATGATGCTGCTTTAGGTTAAAACGACAAGAATCACTGTGGTGTCTACATTGTAATAAATTTAATTGTAAAATAGATAGGAATAATGTTAAAATATTACATAAAGTAAAAAATTGTTTTAAAGAAGAATAATAAAATATTTTTGTATTGTAGCATATGCAAATGTGATAAATCTGAATACCAAGATGAATGTAGATGCATGCTGGAAAAAAAAAATCACACAGTATAAAAGAAATAGAAATTGTTAAGTTCATTATGTCCACTAATGAGGCTTTATTGTAAGTAAAATGCATTTGGATTTTATGAACATGAAGTTATTGGTAATTAAAGTTAAAGTTTAGTATTTCTTCATTATTTGTTTGTCTGCTAAAATGAATCACTCAAAATTGGATAAGAAAGAGTAGTTTTACTTGGTTTTAATCTAGAAATTATTTTATTAATTTTTAGAATTTACAACAAAAAATTTTATGAATTTTACCAATCCCATTGTTTTAAATTTTGTGAATATAAAATACATTTAAATATAATCTGATGAAAACTGAAGATTAAACTTTCTATATGACAGAGATAAGATGCTTTGTGAACTGCATCAAGAGCTAATGATATGATAATATAACATTGTGATTTTAATGGTATTATGACAACACAGCTTTTTTTGTTATTCTCAGTCAGAGTACATTTATTTACTGTAATGACATTAATATAATGTGACTTATTCCATCTAATGTAATATTTTTATCATCTGTCAAAAGATATACTTATATTATTTAAACTTTTAAATCAGGATCTGATGTTTACATAAATTGTAAGTGCTGCATCACTAATGTTTGAGAACCATGTGCAGCTAATAAGCCATGCTTTGGCAATAATATTAAATTAATATTTTCATTATAAATAATATCACACTTTTAGAGAAAAAAATAGCTCTTAGTTCACTAACAAATAAAATTTCTAAGATTATGGAATAAATTAGTTGATGTAATGAGATTCTGGAACAGATTAACACCATAAAATAGAAATTTAGAGTACATATATTTGTATACATATTTTATTACTTTACACACATAACTTTAAATAAATTATTCATTATAATAGTTAAAAAAGTCATACCTAACAGTAACAGAAACACAGACTAGTAAATCATTTAAGAGGAAAATTCTTCTATCTTTGGACTTCACAACAATTCCACTCTGGTCTAATTGCTAAGTATTGAAAAGTTAAAATGTTTAAAATAAAATTTCCTTACAAATTTTAAAAAATATGTAAGTAGATTAATCATACCAATTGTAATACATCATCCTGACGTAAAAGATAATGATCTTTATCATTAAAAGATTTGAGGGAAAATTTTCCAATATGTTTTAAAACTTCTCTGACTGCATGATGTTGTTCAGATTCACGTTTTCTTTCATTAAGTGTTTCTGCTAGAGATTCTAATTGAGTCAAAGCTAGTTGCAGGGACATTCTGTCATGATGTCCAGCTGGAGTGTATTTTAAAAGATCCTATAATTAAAACATTTTTCAATTTAGAATAAAATTAAATTATAAAATCAACAAAAGTTAAATTTAGCAATAATGAATTATTCACAAACTTTAATTCTAACAATAATCAATAAATAATTTCAAAATGCTGTACTATTTTTAACTGAAGAATTCCTTAATTCAATCCATACTATGTTATCATTCTAATGGCAAATATAATAAGAAAATAAACCTTTCAGATTAAAGAAAAAAATTAATTTAATTTTATAATGTAAATTTTGAATTTGAAAAATTCACCTAGCAATTACTGTTGCATGAGAAACATTTTACGACTTTCAGGTATGTTATTTAAATGCAACAAACTTACCATATTTTATGGCATAAGACACAACTTTTAATTCTCAAACAGCTCTCAGTGGGTTACAGGTAACCTCTACCTACCCAACACTTGCATTAAAATATGTTAGCATTTAATTAAACATAATATTGGGTTGTTCGGAAAGTAAGTTCATTTTTTTCGTGGGGGAAAAAAACAATATTTTTATAATAAATAAATATTTTATTGAATTATATATCAACCATTTTTGTCAAATACCTGTTGTCATCATTTCTGATTGTAGCATGATTTCACATTCATAAGTTTTGATCTTTGCTTACAAAAACCGATCCAAGTGATTTTTGACATTGTCATTTCAAGTAAATGTCTTACAGTTAAAAAAATTTTTATAGACCGGAACAAGTAATAATCTGAGTGTGCTTGATCTGGCGAATATGGTTGGTGTGATAGTACGTCCCATCTAAGTTATAACAGTTTCTGACAAGTTACCAAACTTGCGTGAAATTTGACATTATCGTGGTAAAACACTACACCTGTTTTGTTGATCAATTCTGGCTGCCTTTTCTGTTTGATGATATTACTCAATTTTTTACTCGATGGCAGTACACTTTCGAATCAATTGTTAAATTGTCTGGTAAAAGCTCCAAAAAAAAATTCCTTAAAATTCCACCAAAGAGAGCATCTCTCTAAGAACATGTGGAACCCATATATCGAGCTTTGAAATGAAACCAATTTGTTTCAAGTAATCATAAACAGTTTAATTTGACAAATTTAATCTCTTAGTGATTTCATGTGTTGTTATTCAGCAGTTTGCTTCTATCAGTGCCTTTATTTTGTTTTCATTGGCTTCAACTGGCCATCCAGAACGTGGTGCATCTTCAATATTGAACTTGCCAGAACAAAATTTTGTAAATCAGTTTTGGCACTGTCGTTCTGTCAATACAGCTTTTCCATACATGTCTCACAATTTTTTTCTCGCTTGAACAGCATTCTTACCTTTTCGGTAATAAAAGAGCAAAATATGCCGAAAATTCTGCTTTTGATCTTCCATATCNATTACTTACACTCCTGGTCAATAGCTTAGCTTTACATAACCCAAATACTAGAGCTACTGTAAAGCTAAGCTATTGACCAGAAGTGTAAGTAATAGAAATATTTGTATATAATGCTTTAGTTGCAATTCATTCTTCATAAAAAGATTTTATTTCAAAGTTAAAAACAAAAAAATAATTTAAATCCAATAAGAATGAATATAGAATTTTAAGTATTAATTTGTAAACTTCATCAGCAAAAATAAATTCAAAATATAATAATTTTTTTTTATTAAAGTCATTACATGATGTTGATCTCAATGATCCAAAGTAATAATTTACACATAACCATCTCAACCATCTGATGGCAAAACTTAACATTGCAACACTAAAAAGTTTTGCACAAGTTGGAAATTGGCTAGTCATAGGATACCATATGGCAATCTATCCATACACAGTTCATGCAATACCAATACTTGTTGTCAGTTATTACATAGTTAATCTAGAGGTAAGTCTAGGCCCAGCATGTCCAACCTATGGCCCTTTTAAAACACTAATAATCTTTTGTAGATTTTTATTACAATGAAATATCACATGTATAGTTAAATACATTAATATGATAAATAACACCTTATCACCTACACTCAAAAATTAAAATAGTTATTAAGTATTTTTTAACTAAGCTTAAAATGTATAAATGAAAATAATCAGAATGTTCCTGAACTATATAATGGGCAATGGCTTTTGAATTAATATTTCCTTACAAATATTACAATGAAATTAAACGAACTTAATAAACAGCTTCAAGGTGAAAACAAATTGATCACAGACTGTTATCAAAACATAAAAGCATTCATAGCAAAACACAAACAATGTACAAACTTTATGAAAGTTAGTTAAAATCAAAACTACAACCCATCTTCCAAAATTACATAAATTTAATAGTGACAAAAACATTTTTCTAAATATGCACAAAAAATTACTAATTTACTAAGAGAATTTCAAGACAGCTTTTCATATTTAAAAATTTATGAGAATATATTTAATATTTTCTTATGTCCATTTGACATTGTTATGGAGCAAGCTCCAACAAATTTGCAGATAGATTTAATAGATCTCCAGTCATCTTCTGAATTGTAATATGTTTGAGGCCAATGACAAAGTTCAGTTTTATACAAAATACTGTAATGATAAATTCCCTAACCTAAAAAACTGGCAATGAGCATTACAGCTGCAATGGGAATCACTTAGCTTTGTAAACTTTTTTCCTCAAAATTGAAGATTGTTAAATGTAAAAGTAATAATAGATTGACCGATAAAAAATTAGAAAACCAACTATGTAGTAAAACATCACAAATACCTATTGATATTAAAAAATTTAAGTCAAAAAATTAAAAAGCAAGATTCACATTAAAATTCATACAAAATACTGTATAATTGTATATGTTTTATTGTAAATAAATATGTGCGGCCCACAGTGTATTTTTGGTTTTGGTCCAGTAAACAATTTCAGTTGGACAACACTGATTTAAATATCAATACAGTAGAGCATCGATTATCCAAATCAATTGGGGACTGGGGTTATTCAGAAAATCGATTTCTTGGATAATCGATTATGTACAAAAAAATACATTATTAATATAGTATATTAGTATATCCCAATAATAGTATATTAATACATCCCATGTTTAAATTTTTCTCCGTTGAGTGTTGTTTTGTGTTGAATTTTTGTCGATGTTAAATTTAATGAAAATTTTTATAATAATAATCGTGGCTATTGTATCATTAAAAATTATTTCTTTATTTTGNTTCCAGCAGTGTTTCCAGCAATGGCAGGAACGCTGGGAGAAGTGTATACACTACCAAGGAGACTACTTTGAAGGGGATTACGGTTTTGTACCTCAAAGTCAATAAATTTATTTTTGCCGACCAAAGGTCCGATACTTTTTGAACAGACCTTGTATATGTTTGAGGCCAATCACAAAGTTCAGTTTTATACAAAATATTGTAATGATAAATTCCCTAACCTAAAAAACTGGCAATGAGCATTACAGCTGCAATGGGAATCACCTAGCTTTGTGAATTATTTTTCTCAAAATTGAAGATTGTTAAATGTAAAAGTCATAATAGATTGACCAATAAAAAATTAGAAAATCAACTATTATGTTGTAAAACATCACAAATACCTGTTGATATTAATAAATTAAATAAAAAAATTGAAACGCAAGATTCACATTAAAATACATACAAAATACTGTATAATTGTACAGTATATGTTTTGTTGTAAATAAATATGTGCGGCCCACATTGTATTTTTATTTTTGGTTTTGGCCCAGTAAACAATTTTGGTTGCACTGGTCTAGGCACTATTCAAATGATGATACTTCAGTATATATACACTAAATCTAGACAATAAAGTGTCATCAGGTAGACACACCTTAAAGACGCAATCTTTTTTACAGGGATATTTTTTTGGAGGGAAAAAATTTAAGTATATTTATTGAAAATACATATTTTTTGATACTGGAATGTAAAAATTATGTAGCAACTATCTTTCATAAAAGAATAAACTACAGTGCAAAAGGCAGGTAATCAACTCAAACCAAAAATGCATAAGAAATCAGATGAAAAATATTTGTCAATGTTATTATTTAATATTGAAAAGTTTCCTGAAAAAAAACAAGATAAAGCATTTTGAGTGTTGGACCACTTTTTTGGCAGAAATGGAACAAAGTAACTATTGATACAATACAATGAAAACTACTTAGATAACAATACTTAGCTATTTTCATATAAGACAGTTATGATTAGTTGTAATCTGGGGTTAAAATTTCTATATCAGAGTTAAATACCTTGCAATTTCAGCACTTGGCCTTCTATTAGCACACTGGATATAGTATTTGGCTAACCTATAAGATCCTTTTTTTTTTGAAAAAGGGTCTTATAGGTTAGCAAACACTCTATATGAAATATAACAAAAGATTTCTATTACTTACACTCCTGGTCAATAGCTTAGCTTTACATAACCCAAATACTAGAGCTACTGTAAAGCTAAGCTATTGACCAGAAGTGTAAGTAATAGAAATATTTGTATATAATGCTTTAGTTGCAATTCATTCTTCATAAAAAGATTTTATTTCAAAGTTAAAAACAAAAAAATAATTTAAATCCAATAAGAATGAATATAGAATTTTAAGTATTAATTTGTAAACTTCATCAGCAAAAATAAATTCAAAATATAATAATTTTAACTTTTGTAGTTTCCTAAAATTATCTTAAAAAGTAATAATTAAATTAGATGAAAATTCTCAAAGAAACATTATAATGAGATAAATGAATTATTATAAATTTCCTTACTTGTAATAATAATATAAATTGTGGAAACCTCTGAACTGGTTTTACCATTAAACCAAAGAAAGACAAGCGATCTGGACTAGTGATCTGTTTAACCTATATAAAAATAACAATTGTTAAAATTTCAATGCTAATAAACTATTAAATTTTTACATGCAAACTTACCTTTAAAAAATCTGCAAATGCAGATTTATTCTTTGAAGCTTGCTTTGCAGTTTCCATAGCCAGGGAAAAATTATTTATAAAATCACTATAAATATCTAGCACCATTGACTTTGAGAACTAAAAATAAAGAAAATATTTATCAAAATGATAAATTTAATTCAATAACTTATATTTTCAAAGAATATGGTTAATTCATAACTTCAATTTAAAGAAAGGAAATTTAGGGTGCGTTTACTTCTGAGCTAATTTTACTATCAGCACGCTCAGCCTGTATACTTTCATCCGAGTGCCACGCTCATTGGCGTTTACTTTAGAGCTATGTGACGTCATGTTTAGTGAAATTGGTAAGCTTGGAGTACTAGCTAGTTCGTTATTGAGCTTTGAGCTAATTCAATATGGCTGCTCTCATGAAAAAATTACTTTTTGTACAAAGTACTAAAAATGGAATTAGTTTTCAAAAAATAAACGGCAGAAAGTATTTTTATTGGTAAATTTCAATTTGTTGTGTAAAATGTTTACAATGATCTTTTTTCATTGTAAGGTTCAATAGCTTTAGATGACTTTTTTCATAAACAAAGTTAATTAATGTGAAAAAAATTAAGTTTAATTCATTGTTTATGATTAAAAGTGAGGTTTACCTAATACGCATTTGGAATCTTCAGAAATGTTATGTTCAGTGCATTAAATAAATTGTAAAGAAATGAACAGCATTAATAATAATCCAAAATTACATAAGTTTGTATCCTTGAATGAATTTTCACTTACATATGGGAAATGACTTTTCAAGAAATTGTATCATTTGAATACCATTTTTTCATTACAAACTAAACTTATATGATGACAGAGTAATACTTATTTCTATTGAAATAGACTACTGCTTCTTCAGTTGATGTCTTAATAGCCATATGTTTTTCATCAATAGAGCCTCTAATTCCAGGAAAACCAGATTGGGTATAAAAAATTCCATTATTCTTACATCATCCTGCTGTGTGATGGCCAAGAGATCATTTTTCATTTTCATTTAACACTAACTCGTAAGAAAGAATTAACAACTTTATTTAAAATATTCCACGCAGTCTGTCTAAACATATTAAAACGATCGCCAATACCCTTAGAGAAAAGAAAGAAAGAAAAAGTGTTTTGTATTTAATATCAGTTATTTGTTAATTTTGAACTCAGTTTAGTTACACCACAACAAAACAACGTCACATCTATTCACTGGGTAAAACAATTGCTTTAAGTATGTATTATATGTATGTATAATCTACTATTCTCTTATAAACTGCATCTAATTTCATATATTACTTTGTATAAACAAATCTGAATGATTCTTGATTTGCCAATGTCCATAGACAGTGTAAAAGCTGCTTTTGAGGAGACATGGGTCGTCTTCCAGAAGAAGTAATTTTTCGGTGTCTATAATTGGGCTTATTTTTTAGAGGAGAATTTCAAAACTTTCTCTTGTAAGTCTAAGGTTGTTTAAAATCGATTGGCTTATAAAAAGGTAGAGTCTCTTCAATAAAAGTTTCTATCTTTTTTATTTTACCTTACTTTTCTTTTTTATTTTTTCATTTTTCTACAATTATATCCACAATAAAATCACCCTCGTCCGGTTTGGAATCAAGTAGTTATATCTGTAATGTAACATTTAAAATAGCAGCTTTGACAATATTATTTGCAGGAAACCGCCATATTTCTTGTTAGCATTCGCGTTTACTTTCGAAGTGGACATGTAAGCATGAATACACATGCTAATGATGTCACTTCCGGTGTTCGGAAGTAGCACTATTAGCTCAGAAGTAAACGCACCCTTAATGATATTACTGTTAAGTTCATGTGTGTGTTCATTTTTAGGTGTATTTAAATCTACATTTTCATGATCTAAAATAAAGTTTTGCCATTTTTATATACTTTAAGAGCAGATTATAAACTACTAATAATTAAATGATGCTGTTATACTGTTGAGTTTCAAGTAATTGATATATCTATAGTAAACTCCAATTCTAAATTTGATAAATTTTATATATAATGTATTGTACAGTACTGTACATGCAGTTATATAATGCAAATGATTCTTTACAATTGAAAGTGAAAGGGGTAAAAATTTTAAGTAATGAAAATTACCATTATTTTAATGAGATAAATATTATGTTACAAATAATACAGTTAGAATTAAATACATTACTGCTTATTAATTCTTGAGTTGATACATGTATAAAGTAAGATAATATTCATGCCATTAGTGAAATAAGTTTATTACAGAAGTTTTATGTCAACAGTTCATTGTTTCCTTCTTATCAATGTCTTTGAAAGAACTATCTACAAGAATTGATTGACCAATTGAAAAAACAGAGTTATTACTTTAGTACAAAAAGTAACGTTTCATACCTAAACTTTAAATGAAAATATGTCATAATTTTGGTATTGTGGCTTTAGAGGTGATAACATGTCAAATAACTTTGTATATAACTTCAAATGCACAAAATTAAATTTTTGTTTTTATTTCAAATTTATTTTAATGTAGCCTACTCCTTGGAAACAGAACAGAAAGCATACAAAATTAAACATGAACAAATTCATTGATATCAATTTTTTGAGTTTTTTTTCAAAATGTGCTCTCACAACATTTCAATTTATAGACAAACAAAACACATTATGTTCATGGAAGTTATTTCAGGATAATAATAAAATTTGGCTTAGTGAGAGAATCAATTGAATTTGGCTTAGTGAGAGAATCAATTGTATATATATATAACAATATGTAATATATATATATACTAGCTGTTACCCACGACTTTGCCCGCGGAGGTTTTGCAAGCAAACCCCATTTATATTCAGTATTTCAACAACCATAGTAATTGTTATATAACACCTACCGCCGAGAATGATGAGAATTGCTGAGAATCAAACAAACTATTTT